CTGCGAGTGTCGCGCGGACACCCCCCAGTATAGCTCAATGGGTCTCCGAGGTACACAAACCGCCACACCACGGTAAGGTCCAGTCCCTTCGTGACGGATCGACCTACGTTAAGCGATTCCGATATCATGGAGACTCCACTCTCTTAATAGACCGCCAATTGCACCAAGGTTGATATAAACCGCCCGTTGTCTTTTCCAGTAGGATCTTCTGGCGAAATTAGCGGAACAGTTCATAAGCATCTGACTAGAGGTGGCATGCAGCCGTCTCACCCGAATTCCCATGTTCACAATTGATCAATTCGAAGGCCACTAAATAGTCGTTCTATACAGATATAAATGGACGGTACTGTCTCCTGGACACTGCATATCAATGCCGGAGTGCCCCATGAATAAGTGCGCTTTCCTGCCCTATACCTATGTTGGCTCTTTTATCCATGCTTTTGCAGACAAACCACTCCACACTGTTATTCGTATTACGAATAGGCATCGGCAATCTGGCATTATCTTAGCCCTCATGTTGCTTACGGGTTGCACGGTGGGTACACATCAAAAGGATGTCACGTTCGGACGACTTCTGCTTATTATTCACTCCCGTTGAACAACCGCGCACAAATTACTACAGCCCTGAACACCGGCACATTACATCCATAGAGGCGAAGAGAGATACGGTTCATCATGAAAAATTTGGTAATCAGACCATGTATTTTGGAATGGGGAGCACCAATTCATTCAACGGGGTTTTTCATTTCTACGGTGAACGAAGTGGCTCACTACGTTACCTCATCTCTTTAACTAGTTTGGTTTTTTTGAAAACACTGCAAAGCGCTTGAATTCCTCGCAGTATAGAAACAGACAGGAAAAGTTGGAATAAAAGTTTCCATGGGAAAATGAACACGACGACAAAGCAATGATTTCGTGGTCAGGCAATTCCAAAAGTGCATTGCCCCTGAAAGAATCACGGTAGACAGATTACCACACTGACCACCAACAAGTTGGGAAATATATAAAGCCGACTCTTCCACTGTTGACAGAAAGAGCATCCTAACAAGGTTTACAATACCCCCTAAAAGAAAATTATAATGTCTATGCAGTAGAACCGCAGATTCTACACATGTCAGCAAACTGCGCGCGTGCTGTGCAAGAAGCTTAACCAACGAACAACTCAAGCATTGGACACGCTGAATGCATTCTTACCACAGTGGTATTGTCCGTGTCATCACAAGACACCTGAGAAAGCTGTCGTGCAAGCATAATCTCCGCACGAGGATCAACCTTTTTGGGAGCCGTCGTGGGCTGGAATAAAAACAACAGATAATACAAAATGACGAAGGCAAAGTAGCAGTCAGCATTCGAGAAAACTCACATCGAAGGCGCGATTGTACAGTTCAAAGGTGGCTGTAGGAAGTGATCAGTATGGTCAGATCGGTCTGTACCAGTCAAACCGTCTATCGTTCCAGCCAAGCTACATATAGTTGCCTGATCAGCGCCAAAAATTCCGGCGATTGCAACCTCTAAACTACCTCTAAACCTGGTTCGTCATTTATGCATGCCTCTACAGCTTGATTTAAGCTGTGCACGGACGAAAATGAAGAGAAAGTGTATAAACTAGAGAGGTAACCATTCATCGGCTTCCTGCACTTTGTCGATAACCGTCAACGAAGATGGTTAATAGAAGTGGTTTACAGGTAAAATCTGCACATGGTGCCTTATGAAGTAAAACGGCACCAGCTGATGGCATAGCTGAATTGGTGCCCCATAGCCCCCCGAACCACACAGTAAAACAGCAATAATTCCTCCAAGGAATATTCATATTGGTATTAACTTACCGTGTCGCTAGAGTTTTCACGGTAGAGTTTCAGGCGACTCTTGATGACAGATGACATTTCGGAATGACGCGACTGTTTCAGCACCATCGACCGGGCGGAGCTCGTCTCGTTTTCATCTGGTTCATCACAAATCGGTTGAACGAACCCCACCGGTTTCTTCAAAACGAAACAAAATACACGCATAGGTCAGCATAAAGGATAAAATGAACAAGAGGCGAAAAACGGGGAAAAAGCACAATTTTCTACTCAGGAGTTGACATAGAAAGCATATGTAAATATAATCTTGACGTTACATTTCCAGTTGCTGTATCACAGACATTATGCATCTTTGCATAAGTATCCTAGACTACGTCGTGTCGACAATTCGTAAAATACTAGGAAAGATCTATTCTTGCAAATAGATGTTTGACTTTGGGCGCAAATGATCGATAAATAAGCAAATTAGATATTTTTGTCTACCCCAAAGAGAAGCGAACTTTGCTTAGCAATATGTGCTGTGCGCTCAAACTGTCACTGGTGATTGATCATTACGGCCTCGATGAAAGCTGACAACTTCTAACTGGCATCTTACAGCAGCAAGTTGAATAATATATTTGGGTTAGTCAAAATGGCATCTATATGCCTCCGGAACAATTGAACAAGTTCTTAAACCTAAATTCTATCTAGTTTTGAAAATAAGGGTGTGAACCTATCAGTTTATAACAATTAACTTGTATATTAGACATGTCAGAAAGGCACCACGTGACTTTACAGACTGATCATATAAACCAGCCTCGACCTACCACTGGTGGACCCTACAAAAGAAGACAACGTAAAACTAAAGAAACTAAGCCCTAAAACTATCTGCAATCTGAGTCATCAACGAAGGCACGTAAACATGATATCAAGTGTATGTTCGGTCATAAATTACGAACATTATTAAACATTACGGAGGTTGTTGAACGGCACCAAAAAAGAAGCACACGCACATGTCCTCAAGTCCATGAGTCACTGATAGATGAGTATAACATACGCATAAGACCAGTCCGATCCGTGATAGCATTATGCGAGGAACTTTTATACCGTCATCCTACTTTTGCTTAGTATCATAGTTTATTCCCGCTGTAGTCAATTCACAGTACAACTGATGAGCCCAAAAGTAGAGTGGTACTGCAGCTATCGAGAGAATCAAAGTGTCGATAAGTGTAGGGAGTTTGTTCATGAGTTTTGTATGTCTCAAAATAGTGACGCTATATTTGCCCTACTTAATAGAAAGATCTACTGATTTTTCAACTGGCTAGTTGAAGATGATTGCTTCCCAATGGTTTTCGAGTGAATGATGAGCAGACTATGCTATGTGCACACTTTGCTCGGTGACAAATCTGCCACAAAGCCAAGGCTCCGATAGGTTTTGGGATGGTTTTTCGAGAGCTTGTGCTTGTACTGTTTCAACGAAATTACACTTTGTAGGTATTGCATACACCATCACGCTAGATTGAAAGTGAACAGCAGGGCCTGCATCCAGTAACCTGCTACGTGGGTGGATGCTTCGTTGGCTTCATCGTGATAATGATGTATCAATTCTACACGCAGGCCAAGGACACCTGTGAAGGCTATTTAGACACACGTATCACTCCATGGAAGTGTCAGGAACTGCAATGCTTCTAGCAGATGCATAGAAGGACAATTTGCGGATCTCAGTATACAGATTTCATAATTCATTGTTGTGCGTTTTTATCCTAGTGAGTTCCACGTTTCCTAAGGCAGGTGATTTCACTCTTCCTCGTGACCAGTAGCTGTTTCCATGTCACGTGCGCAAAAACCTTGTCCTAAGAGAGAGTGGAGCACTTTCCGAGTTTGATTTCTCACAATCCCTCTTGCGTGTGGCGACTGGTTGGATCTCGGATGGTGATAATTCCACGTGCCAATATACTGGCTGCTCCAACCTTATGCAGTAGTCGAGTATCGGTTATCGTGTTCTCGATAGTCCAACAAACCATTCTTCGGAACTTAACAGACTACTGTTTAGTTCGAAACACGCGGTCGGTAGCACACGCCCGTCTTGAGAAGGTACGGCAGGCACGTTTGGTGGAGCAAACACTCGGGTCATGAGGTGGCCAAATAAATAACGTGAGCTATGGATGCAATATTCTGTCCACGGACCCACGTTGGCACACAACAAGTGGCTCAAAAGCAGCACACCAATCTGGCTGGAAAGTCACTGGTCGTCTTGATAAGGTACGGCAGCCACGTTTGGTGGAGCAAACACTCGGGTTATGAGGTGGTCAAATAAATAACGTGAACTATGGATGCAATATTCTGTCGAGATAACAGGTTTACACGTTGGCCCACGGGCCCACGTTGGCACACAACGAGCGGCTCAAAAGTAGCACACCAATCTGGCTGGAAAGTCACTGGAGACGGACTCGCACTGGTAAAGATTGGATGGCAGTCGAATGAAAGCGAGTTAGAGAAACTATGCTCTCAAATTTTGGAACTGCTGACCACATGAACACTGGATATCGGGAGCAGCAGAACTTAGGGTGGCCAGAAGAATCACGCCACCAACCTATGACCACTATCCGTCGCCTACAACGCGCGATAAGCAAGATGCTGAAGAATTATGGGGAGCGCTGGTGGATTTGGAGGCCTCAGAGATGCACAAGGATCTCGCTTCAAGAGACATCTGCGCTGTGATTCGACTCTGTATCATCTTTCCTCCTAAACTTTATCATGAAAGTGCTGCTTGAAATCCCAATGCCTGCATCTGAAACCTCCGGTAGGGAAATGCCCACATACATTGAATATATGGACGAGATCACTCTTCTTAATCCGGACCATTCAAAAATGCAAGCCATTTGAAATAAAATAAACAATTCAGCTGCACGGTTTGGCATGTGCCTCACACCTGTGTCAAGTGGTGAAACATGAGTGGGTAGGATTAAACCCAGATTGCATACCTTCAGACTAGCCAGTCAATGTGGTAGATAGATTTGTTTACCTCAGATGGTTCCGGTGGACGGTTACTTCCCGAATCGGGGAGTGGGTAGGATTAAACCCAGGTTGCATACCTTCAGCCTAGCCAATCAATGTGGTAGGTAGATTTGTTTACCTCAGACAGTTCCGGTGGACGGTTACTTCCCGAATCGGGGACGCCAGGACAGTTTTTGCCAACTTCCGACACATGGCATCCGCGTGATATCAGTTTGTTTATCAAGAGCAGAGTAAAAACTGCGAAGACGCGATCCATACTGCTCTATGGAATTCTACGAGCAGACGATACACGAAAGTTTCCAGTGTTTAACCATCGGTATCCCCGAACGATTGGTTGAGTGCGGTAGGAACATCGGATACGCAATACTAAGAACGTCAGATGGTTTTAGGAAGAAAGTAACTCTCCCACGATGAGTGGGCTATTCACGCCTCATGGGTTGTTGGCTTGGACATGTATTTCGCATGCAAGGAGACTATCTGCCCAATATTGCTCTTTTAGGTTAGTCCTGATCTGACAGGAAGCGAGCAAGAGGTTGACCGTGCATGACCTGACGTGTGAAAACATGAGCCAGTAAATTCAGCCGGGTTGGTAACTGCCACCTCCCTGGATAGGGATTCCTGAGATTTAACCCACTAATGGCCAATGACACTGTCAGAGATGTCCCAGCCACGCAATAAGTGACAGCTCTACATCAAAGCTAGCGCTTATAACACGTAGCTGTCTAGTTTTCCTTCCCCTTAGAGCAATACACGATGCGAACCGAATATACCACCACCCCCCGGTGTTTGGCTATATCACTCCCTGTCCATTTCTCGGTGACCGAAACTACGCGTCTGGAAACAACATACCCTTAATACGTAGGTAATGAATTGCACCTTGAAATAAACTGAACTACTACAGACTGCCGTGGTGGCACCAGCTAGGACAACAGCGAGGACTATCAGCCACATAGCTGCTATGCAGCTCGTACAAGGAAAGTCAGGGGATATAGCACTAACTTAACGAAAATTAAACAAGCGCGATCAAAATGCCGAGGATGAAATCGAATGGCGGATGTTTTCAGTTATAAAAATTGTGTCATTCAGGCTACGTTTGTGAGAATCGTTAGGACATGTATTAAATCAAACGCACAACAACCAGATATGGCAGACCTTTGGCATTGACACAGAAGAAGCTGGTGAGTTCAATTGCTGCTGTTTCTTCCAGAATTCCATCCGATCGCTATTCTGAGGAATCTCCGCTTTGGGATCCACTTTTTTGTAAGCAGTACCCTAAGAGGAAATAAGAGAGTGGACTAACAGAGAAGTGTATGAAACAGGCATACATACAGACTATAGCTAAATGATGCGGAGGTTAGCGGAAGAGCTGATGACTCATACACGAGAAATTCCGGAGTTTCGTTCCGCTTTTCAGTGAAGTTTGAATACATATACAAATATTTCGGCTACCAAGCCTGAAGCTTTAATGAGAAGGTGATACAGGCCCAAAACGTATGAGTGAAAACCTTCAGTAGGTGCTTGTCGGTTGCGAAGTCTTCACTGCAGCAACACCAATTCAGCTGGCGGCACAGCCTCCTCGCGTAAACCTACATCGATCGACCATGCTGAGTACTTTGCAATGGGTAGACCCTGATAATTCTGTCCCATGCAGATACATACTTTCGCCAACTGCATCTAAGTGAGCTTCGGAGCCCGAATGTGAAACCAAAAAAGATATCAAAGGTAAGATTGAGTGTTCCGTTCACTAAACTAAGGTTTTTTTTGGTTGTAGTAATCGTACTGGACAGCTAACGATAAAACCACTTCATTTGCAGTCCGGTTCTTAGATCCTAGCACAATTTTTCACCGGCCAGGAGTTGGAATGACCAGACCAACCGAATGTGCAAATATACGCACAAGTCGTTAAGGACGCAGGTGGCCTTGATATGACCTTGGGCCGGTGACCGAAAAGGCCACCCTTCCACCGATTTTATCATCTGTGTAACGGTGCCGATGAAACTAATCGTCCGCACACAACGATGTAGCTGTTATGGTGCCAAAAGACTGACCTTATCAGTGTGACTCAATGGTTGGTGGTTTATCAAAGACCACGTTTAACGAAACATTCTGTTTGGAAATTGAATATTCGGTCAAGCCATGAAAAATCCACACAAAAAAGTTCATAGTGTGGCTTGGTTCTGTAAGTACTGTCCTCAGTTGCTTGAACCTAGGAGAGGTGACTTTAGGGGAAGTTATGCTGTGTGTGGCAATAATCTTGTTACATAACTAGGGCGATGTAGATATGGCACGCCAAACAACCCGATCGATTTGTAAGCTATTCATCAAGCTGCGTAACCAGCAGCGCAGGTAGGAAAGATGATGATTCACACTTAGTACGCATTACGCGGTATTGGCTTACTGCCCGGAACAAGCTTTCATCGAAACACTACACAAGCAACGCATCAAAATTCGGAAACAGAGATGTTCGGATGCATACTCTCAATACGGATAAAGATGGGTGTGAGTGCGCAAAGAACCCCATCAAGATCATAAAACCCAAAACAGTGGAGGCTAACTTAAGGTGTGAAAATGATGAGTCACCACCACAGTGGTTCGGTAGTTGACTGCCCGTGGGCAATTAATACAAGTCGGAGAGCGTGATTACGCTTTTCGTCGTGTTTCATGTGCCAATTAGCGGCTAACCTTCGTCTTATTCACGCGATCTATACACAAAATCAGCATCAGAACGAATGTTAGGTGAACAAAAACGCAAGACACCACACATACCACAGCAGGAGGCGTCCAATCGATATTGTCTACCGGAGTAGAATAGCTGGAACCAGACATTTTCTCGATTTTGTTGATAATTTCCTTCCAATCCAAATCATCCTCGTTCCGAGCGTGCACCGTGAGGTGTGTTGTCTAGAATGAAAAGACGGGCGGTCAGAACATACCAACAAACCTTTTGAACCTGAACCTCGTAGACTGCGCGGTTCTATGTACAACACTTCAAATTGAACTAATCGAAGAAAAATGAACTTCAATCAGGCGTAATACACTCGTTCGCAAATTAGACTAGTTTTAAGGATAAACTCAGCTGAAATTCAGCCGAATTCATTGTTCACCTTCAACCAGATGTGCTGCATAGAAGTCGCCTCATGTTACAGTTGGGACGATATTCGGGATATTAAAGCATACATATGTTTCAGTCCAGTTTCAGTTTCAGCTTCAATCCAGACACTTAAACTGGAACTAGAGGGCAAGGACATGATTGGCAAAGCCAGAAATTAGTAAGACCGAACAAAGTGTTATCAAAAGACTTTAGGAGTACTTTTATTGGTAGGGTCAGGTGATTGAACTGGGAAGCTGCGAAGCTCTGTTAAGCTATGGCTACTTATTCAACAAGGAACGCCCTCGCAATCTAACTCCGGTGGCATTCGCTTTCTTCGTCAAGATTATCAATCTAAGGAACGGTCCGATTTTCACTGAAACATTCAAAATTAACTATAATTGCCTTAGCCATTTGGTGGCTGTCACTGAAAGCTTGCATCGGAGCAACAAAATCGGCGCCAGCAGCAACAGTAGCAACAAAAATCGTTCAGCCGTAGCACTCTTCCGGTGCCTCGTTGCCATGCTACCAGAAGGAAGCACGAGAATGGGATACTGCCAGGTTGCCCGAGCCTAGACAGGGAAAGTCGAGAGGCGGAGGTCGGATTCGAACCACGGACCTTCCCGTTCGTATAGTTGAGACGCGCAACTACTTGCTAGCATTGTATTCCATTAATTAAGAAATTCGTACTAGACAACGAGAAAAATATGCGAAGCGAACCACGCTTCGCGACGACGGTTTTCAAAACATCCACAAGTAACTACGAATTTGAACTCAAGCCGCATCCTGCTTGTTACCACGAAAGCAAATCTTAGTGCAGATTAAAATCTGCAATATCACTACAAATGCTGTCCAAGAAATCATAAAAAGGAAAATATAGAAATGCCAACCCATTGATATATTACCGTTATATCATAAATTGCTGACTACACCTTCAACGTTCTCTACAATGCAATGCTCATCGACTTGATGACAATAAGCTGACGTACCAGATCGAATTTTTTATCCAAATCTAACATATAAGTTACGACCAAGCGGGCTCACACAACTAACAATGATGCTTGGCGTCCAGAAGCCGCCCGAATGCCACACAGATTTTGACCCCAGCTCAGGCGCCCTAGTGCTAATGCCGCACCCCGTAGGTGGCGTGAGACTGATTCGGTGACGTAAACGAAAGAGCCAGTAGTTAACTCTGGAGTTCTACTTCTGTGGGTTAATTGATGTGTGTTGTTCGTCGACCGAAACCATGGTTCGTTTCCATGCCCACGTGACCAAACAGAAAAATAAGACACCAATTATCGTTCAATCTTGTTTTCTTCACAAGAATAGTAAGTTCACTGGAGAGTTATGACCTTTCAACTCAGAGCGGTCACTACTACCGAAAATACTCTCTTAAATGACAACCCGAAAGGGGTCATGTTTGGTAAAGAACCCTGGAAAGGTTGTACTAGAAAGACTAGTGTTAAGGAGTAGCAGCAACGGAGTGACTGCTCTGGAAGTCACATTTACATTCACAAGAGGTGCTACCAAGAGATCCAAACGAGCATTAAATGAAGCCATCGTTTATGACGCCGCTAAATCAGGAAAACGGACGTCTATTTCACAATCCTACCAACAACCGCCAAATCGCTCAAATGATTGAATAGCAATAAACTACCAACAAACACTATTTATGTTGCACCCTGGTGGCAAAAACATCTAAAACATGAAATGCTGGTTTTATCGCGACATGCTGACGTTCATTTCTTCTCTTTTCTAACACATTTCGGTTCCTCACAGGGCATCTAGGGACATGAAGAGCCTGATGCAGCTCTGTTGGGTATACTTTCCCACATGGCAATTAATTACCGCACCGGTAATCTGTCCGGAACAGGTTGACAGCGTTATCAACGCCATAATTGTTGCAATCGCAATAGGCTTAGTGAAGGCTACAACCTATAAACGGTTCAAGTAGACTTTTAGCGTCCTAGGTGGGGTGCTTCGCAAGCATCCGTCCATCACACACCGTTTCCCAGTGAAATCATGACGGCTTCGGGTTCCCTTTGTTCCCTTTGCTGAGCTTTCTAACGAACGTTTTGGAAGTGAGCACTTGTCAGCTGACGCAAAATGGAACGGCACATTACTATGGACGTGTTTGTTTGAAGCACACCACAGGAGCACATTTTTACAACTAGATACCGGGTATGACAATATCATACGTGAAGTGTCACAAATCTCAGGAGAGTTGAGAAATTATGCCACTACACGTAAGTTTGGCTTGCAGGTAACATATAAGAGTCCAACAAATGGGGAAGACGAACTTAACCGCAAGGGAAACCATGTAATGGTAAGCAGGATTGCTCACGTCCTATTGGTATTGGTTGGCAGTTTAAAAAAGTTCACAAGTGGTCGAAGAACGAAGCAATACGTCGGCAATAAAGAGCCTAAATCCTATTAATGGCCCTCAGGAATGAACACCGCGCAAAGGAAGAACTGTGGTTGGTCCCATGTAGACGCTCTCCCAAGAGTTATCACGGCACCTACTGGATGACCGAACATGTCACAGGATTCACGCAGTGTTTCAAATACCTCAGTGAGGACCTTGGTTTTCTTATAAACTTTCAAGTGTTAGAAAAATTATCAGAAATTTCTTCTTAAAAACACTATCTGAGGGGCTATGATGCGACTAAAGTGAGATTAGGAAGATTAGGGTACCGGAGCTCAGCCACATGACCTGCATTTGCTACCATAATATGAACCATTGGTTAGCAGGCTGCTACTCTACGGATCACGAGCCCGGCGATAAGCTTGTGAAACTATAAAATTTTATTTGTGACTACTCACAAATGGTCAGCTGACTGCGCAGAATGGTCAATAGCTAGTTTGACTAAGAGTCATACCTAAAATACTTGTGACATTTGGTCCAAATGGTTGTTGACATGTTTAGGTGATGCGACTACTCATGAATAGCAGGTTGCTTATCCATGCGCTCATGACACAAATTTGGAATTTGACTATGTAGTGCAATGGATGATACGATAAGCCTTCAGAAAGCCGAGCCACACGAGAGCCCCACATGAATGGCCATATTTTTTCAGAACTCTGAATTACTCCTAAATAAACTTCAACACCATGACGTGAAAATCATCCGGTGTTTTACGACGATAAGCAATCTGACCAAAAAATACACTTCATTAAAGCTGTGAAAATTTCGTCGGATGTGTTCCATACCCAAAACATCGCGCGGTCTACCTTTTTACGTCGCCCTTCGTCCCCATATGCACAAAAAATTAGCGGGACAACAGAAGCTTGATCAAAGAAATGGACGAATATGTTGTCAGTCTCTAGAAAAGACTGCGTGAAAAAAGTAATTCAAGGCCAAAAGTAGTTACTGGTGAGCAGGTAGTGTTGATTTAGAACTTGGCGCTTGGAGGCGACAAAAGCTTTTCCTCTAGTTACCGGCTACATTCTAGCCAATTAAGGGAAATTATCATCAGTTGATTTATCAGTTTTATGTTAACTTGTCGCAGCAAAGACGTCAGTTGCTGCATCCGTCACGACAAGCACGTTACACACATAGTGAGTCGTCAAAAAGGGTAATGCCTAAATCTTTTAGGCTACCCGTAGATTCATGGTAGTGTGAAGAGACTTTAGAACAACCAATTAATGCCCGAATCCGCTTCGAAGTTTGCCGACCAATGATCTCGGCATTTCACAGTATGCGAAGGTCGACGAACACCGGAGTCGTCCAGTTGGCAAGCTTCGTTTACTGTAGTCACTAGCGTATACAAACAATCGAGATGATGCAAAGAAACAGCAACCAACAGAGATAAACTGTTAAAGAACCAAGTAAACGCGATGAGCGATAGAGCCAATGCTGATTTCGTAACGGAATCCAGGAAAACTGTCTATACACTACTAGAACTGCAGCGACTTTGGTCAATAAATGAGAGTCTCTAGAAACGAATCGGACTGTTCTTGATCGACTTCCGAAGTCACGACACAGCACAAACGAAAGTGCCCCAAAACAAAGCAATTATAGAGGAACTAACAATCCCGCAGCTCTCGAAACCGGAAAAGCCTGGCTGAATCGCGAGACTACATTATTTTCATTATACCCCATCAGGGTTCTCTATCAAAATACTGAAACTATCCCCAACGCCCAGCTTCACGCCAGAAGGGCGAAAGGCGAAGATCAAAGCAGCAGTGTGGACTTTCTTAGTCAATTCGACAGCAGAATAACCGGACAGTGATGGAAATTATTAAAATGCTAATGCATATTATATCAAATCACATTATTACAACAGGATAGGCGTTACACATTTCAGGCTAGCTGGCAGACGTTCGGAATGCGTGCCAGGACACCTTTGGATGCAGACCCTCTAGTGACTTAGACAATGCGCCCTACCTCTTGGTGTCCCAAATAACATTGCCCCGGTATCCTTGGCCCCCCGCCCACCGATTGCAAGCTTAGACCTAATTCAACCTAATTCAATTCAGCAGCTAAATTTTCAAAATCCCTATACCTCGTCGGCGGTTGCATACCCTTAAGTTTCTTCAATTTATGTTGGGCATGTGTGAACAGTGCATGGTATAGTGGAATCCGCAGTCACATGCATGGAACATGCATGCAGCGTGCAACGAAATGGCGGTCTGTAGAGGCGAACTGAACGCGTCAAACACCACGACGCAGTTTTCTGTTACTCAAGCGATGTTACCACCAAACGCGAGCAATACTAGGCAAACAAATGCCGAAGAACGGTACATATAATGGTGTTTTAAACGGATTCATCCAACGAAAGTCCGATCACATGTTGATACCAGAAACGTCTCCAGTTGGCGAATGTGAAATTTGTTCTTCTGTCTTATGGAACCCCTCTCCTCCAATCCTCCGCCAGGTGTAATGCAACTTCTTCCAAGATGCCAGTAACCAAAGTGATGTTAAGAGGAGCTCTTTGCCAGTCTTGAGCAAACTATTTGCATCGTCTTCCAAGAGGCCCAGTGAAATTCCCTATTCCTAGAGCGACGATTATCAGCCCTGCAATATGTCGAGCACGACATACTTGTTCCTACACTTTCATCTCACCGCACACCCTGAGTCAGTGACGTAAGTTGCAGCCCGGTCACAGAAGACCTGTCAGGATTGTATCACTCTGCTTTTACAAGAGACCACGGAGACAGACACTTGCTTCTGATAGGACCGCAAATGAGTCTCTCGACAGTCATCCTAGTCTTCAAAAAGGGCTCCAGTACTTCAGGCGAACGCCACCATCGCATCAGTGAGGTATCCATCGCATCTAACTTGCTTTCTGGCATTATTCTGCGTGGGTTGATTGACTAGCGGGAGATAGATTCATGAGAATCAACCAAAGTTTCGCTGTGGCGAAGGATGCATTGACCATTTCTTTAGCAAAAGACAATTTCTTGAACAGCACAAGTTTTTCAAACGTCCCAGGTTGGTCGTTTTTCCATGTATGAAAGTTGCTTTTGACTCTCCATCCTCAGAAACTTTAGTGGTGTCTGGCGATCAAGGGTACCCCTTCCAAATTTATACTCCTTATGACGGTAGTGTATACGAACTCCTGTAGACGGGTACGGACACGCGGCTGCCATTCGTATGAGTTCACCACATCCAGTGGATTGAAACAAGGCTGCCCTCTCTCACCTTTCTTCTTTAGATTCGTTACTGATGTTCTACTTGAAATTTCTCTGCCTGCCTTTGAAACCTCGGTGGCTGAAACGCTTCCGACGTTCGCTCAGACACCGAGAACGCGGGATATATTACTCTCCCTGATACAGATCCTTTAAAATGTAAGCCACTTTAAGTAATCCAAATAATTTTACCACCCAGTTTGACATAGACTTCACACGTGCAAAGTATAAAGTGCTGCTACACGGCTGGGTCGAACCAAATGCAAACTCATGCTTGCAGACGACGTGGTAGAGGAATTCGTCTACCTGGGAGGATGTGTAAGTTCCAGTGGGCTGGTGGGAGATGAAATTGTCTCAAACTGGTAGGACTAGAACAACTTTTGTCAGCCTCCGACACATATGGAGCGACGTGACGTCATTTTGCCTGTTAAGGGCAGAGCTTACACTTCGGCGGTGCGATCCATACTGCTTTGCGTGTCCGAGGCGTGGCCTCTACGCGCAGAACTACAGAAGAGGTCACTGGTTGACCATCGGTGTTCCCGAAACATTGGTTGGGTATGGTGGGAACAGTGATGAGGTATGCCAGATAGTTTTAGGAAGAAACTCTCCAGCAATAGATGAACTGCTCAGGTTTCATAGTTTACGTTGGTTAGGACATGCACTCCGCATGTCGGAAGACCATCTACCTTGTAGTGCCCTTTTAGTCCATGTGCTGAGTGGAAGTAACCGAGGGCTAGACAGTGTGACCTGACAACGAAGTATAAAAACACTAACCAGTAAACTTAGTCGGGTGAACAACTACCAGCTGCCGGATGCAGACCCCGGGAGTCAACTCACCAACGGTTAACACTGGCAGAAATGACACAAGCACGCAGTCAGGGGCGCTCATGCATCACAGCTATCATCTTCGATGTATAGCCGTCCAGTTTCCGAACTAACTGAACATGCCATGGTCTCCAATTCTTGGTTGTATGTCCCAAGTCCCCACTTTCCAGTAACCGAAACTGTAGCAGCTAGAACTAATGTACCCATCGCATACAGTTTGAAGCTGATAAACTGATTGACCGCATATGATTGTTCGCGGTCGCTTACACGCCACCGGTGAATTATTCACAAACAACCCCCATAGGTGCAATGATTCTAACCGAAACATGGAAAGAAGGGAAGCAAGCAAATAACCTCTTGCTTGGGACAGTGGACAATCTTTTTCACAGGGGAGGAAAAGGTTTCAGAGGAGGACTGACTAAGTGAAAGGATGAAAAAAGCAATTAACAACTAAAAAACGAATTTGGGAAATCCTGGGACATGGCAGGAAGCTTGTTCCCACTACAAATACCCCGTTGTGTCGTAGTCGCACTGTTTCGTTGCCACTTATGACTTGCGTTTTCTGTTAGGTATATAATGAATGGGCCATTATTAGAAGGCATAGGTGTTGGCTACATCAAACAGTTGTATCATAGCTTATGCTTCGCAAAAGACCGTCAGACGCAACAACCACTCCAGAATAGCAATAACCTCATCACTCAACGCACCAGCGGGATCATGAAATAAGTTAAAATAAATAAAACGGTGTGGCCAACTTACCCGACACATTTGTTTTATGATATCCCCATGCTGCGCACATACCAGTTTGTGTTTTTCTGGTACGCCTTCGCCTTGCTCCATAAAAAAACGGAAAGCGACAAAGTATGAAAGCACTTCTATGAAAAATAAAGGGTTGTTGTCCATTAAATAAACTACAGTGAACTACGTTTAAAACAGACCCTGTTAGTTCAGAAGAGATGTGACGACGCGCACTGTCCCAAACTAATGACTCAGCGAACGGCCAAACGTCATCAACTATAATGAAAACGCTGCTTTCAAATATTGGTCACAAGAAGAAAACACCAAAATTCACTAGGTTATATATGCTCACTGGAGATGAATGCATTTCCACAATTAGATGCAGCGAGATAGCCAGATAACTCAGCAGTTAGAACGCAAATTTACTGATTGGAAGGTTGATGTTTCAAATCCGACCTCAGTATCTTGACTTCTTCTGCCTAGGCTTGGGCGACCTAGCAGCATCTCAGCACCTGTGCTTCTTTCAGGTGCATGGCAGCTAGGCACCGAAAGTGTTTGTTACACCTGAACGATTTCGATCTCGAAGGATGCGGCTTAGGATAACTCGGAAGCCAAAACACGAAGCCCAGAACAGTCGAACACCATCATCATCACCACTGTCAGCTGTAAGAAATCCGTAGTTGCCGTACAGTGGTTGTAGCTGCCACTGTAACACGAAGCCAGAACAGTCGAACACCATCATCATCACCACTGTCAGCTGTAAGAACTCCGTAGTTGTCGTACAGTGGTTGTAGCTGCCAACGTGTCGTTCACCGACGATTTGGGGAGGCGGGATAGATAGCTGCGCATTGGAGGCGGGAGCGGATAAGTTGGTGCGTAAATACAGCACTGTCAGTAGACTGGTAAGTGGGTATTGAAGGTAATACCTTGGATTCATTAGCGCCACTGAGAGCGGGACTAGGCCACGTCTGAAAATGTCTCTAACCATTGATAACGGCCTGTCTCGGGGTCCCCATCCAGGAAGATGGCAGTGACCGGTGCAGTTGAGTTAGCTGGTAACGGATTTTATACTTCGTTGCCAAGTTATTGTTTGACCGCCTCTGGCTCTCTCCCACCCTTCACATGGTTGTGCGAAAAGAGCCCTTCGAGGAAGTCGGTCGACTGGCATACGCAACACATGGCCCAGCTAGCGCAACCTATGCAGTGTGATCAGTTCATCTATCGAGGGTGAGTTATTTCTCCCAAATACCATTCGACGTACTTCAGAATTGCTGATCCGTTGTTCCCACCAGATTCGGGCAATGCTCCGAAGACATCGATGGTCAAACACTGAAAGTCTTTTGACGTCCTCGGCGCGCAGCGGCCAGGTTTCTGATCCATATAGTAATATAGAGCTCACCGCAGCATTGTAATCTCGACCTTTGACAGAGAAGGTGACGTAGGTTCGCAAAAGCTGCTCTGGCCTTCCCAATCCGGATGGAAATATCATCTTTCGCGAGACCACCGGG